CTCCAGTTTATATAGACACCGAGGGGATCTAGGGTTTACATAGAGCCGCTTACATAAGAAGGAATCTTCATAGTCGGTTGCCAAGCCTGCCTTCCACGCCAAGGAGAGTCCAATCCGGACACGGATACAGTCTTCGGCCTTCATGTCTTCACAGCCCATCAGTCCGGCCCATGGATAACAGGCCGGACGTCCGAGGACCCCTTAGTCCAGGACTCCCTCAATCGCGTTTTACGATACGGAGCCGCCACCAAGCCCTAATCTCTCTCGAGAGGGCTGATCTGGAGTCCGTTCGGGGCTCCGGAGAGGGGAATCCATCGCCATCGTCATCATCAACCTTCCTCCATCACCAATTTCATGATGCTCACCACCATGCGTGAGTAATTCCATCGTAGGCTTGCTGGACGGTGATGGGTTGGATGAGATTTATCATGTAATCGAGTTAGTTTTGTTAGGGTTTGATCCCAAGTATCCATTATGTTCTGAGATTGATGTTGCTATGACTTTGCTATGCTTAATGCTTGTCACTAGGGCCTGAGTGCCATGATTTCAGATCTGAACCTATTATGTTTTTATGAATATATGTGAGGTCTTGATCCTATTTTGCAAGTCAATAGTCACCTACTATGTGTTATAACCCCGAAGTGACAATAATCGGGACCACTCCCGGTGATGACCGTAGTTTGGAGAGTTCATGTATTTACTAAGTGTTAATGCTTTGGTCCGGTGCTCTATTAAAAGGAGACCTTAATATCCCTTAGTTTCCAATAGGACCCCGCTGCCACGGGAGGGTAGGACAAAAGATGCCATGCAAGTTCTTTTCCATAAGCACGTATGACTATATTCGGAATACATGCCTACATTACATTGATGAACTGGAGCTAGTTCTATGTCACCCTATGTTATAACTGTTGCATGAGGAATCGCATCCGACATAATTATCCATCACTGATCCATTGCCTACGAGCTTTTCACATATTGATCTTTGCTTAGTTACTTTTCCGTTGTCACTGTCACAATCACTACAAAACCAATACTGTTACTTTTGCCACCGTTACCGTTACTTCCATATTACTTTGCTACTAAATACTTTGCTGCATATATTAAGTCTTTCAGGTGCGGTTGAATTGACAACTCAACTGTTAATACTTGAGAATATTCTTTGGCTCCCCTTGTGTCGAATCAATAAATTTGGGTTGAATACTCTACCCTCGAAAACTGTTGTGATCCCCTATACTTGTGGGTTATCATCTATGTACATGATGGCTTGTTGATCTCCCATTCTGATAACTGCATCAATACCATCCCGGCAAGCAAAGAGCTCACTAATGAACGGATCACCGATGTCCTTATGTTGACTCATACATGCATCAATAAAGGTACAAAGGTGGTCCCTAATGACATGGCCTGAGCCAAACACTTGGTTCTGGATGTCAAGGGCGCCATCAACATTGACTGTAAGCCAACCTTCTAGTAGAGGTGGCCAGCAGTGGTGTTGGCGACTCCCTCCTGGATCGTTCTGACATGGAGGGAGATCAAGGGTCGCCATGATCTCATCAACCAGTGCAATAGATCGCATCGGCTGGAAGCCTTCTTCCCCACGAGTGAACTTGTTCTTGGTTAACCAAATGCATCACATCATGGTAACAAACACCCCAACATCTTCTTTCTTGACTAGGTCCAAGGCAAGAACATCCCCAACCCCCATCGCATGATGCGGCCGTGGGAGCTTCATGCCACTCTGCTGCAGAAGCGCCTCCTCAAATTGTTTTGTATGGCCACAAAGTGATCATCGCATGATAATGACTTTCATTTGTGTATCCGTAGAGTGTGCACTTTGAGTTTTTTGCAATATGACAACGCGTGGGTTCAAAACAAGGAAGCATGTTCTTCAGTACCCGCCAACAAAAAAATGTTGACTTTCGACAAAACATTTGAGTTTCCACAATGCTTTCCAAACCCTGCCCCGGGCAGCGACGGAGCAGCTGGTTATAGCTTTATCATCCAACACAATCTCAACTAGTAGCTTGTACGCTGACCGCACAAAGTCCAGGACAGACACACGCTCCTTCTTTGACTTTATGCGACCCATTTTCCATCTTTTAAAAAAAGGATAGAATACCCTCTAAGGTGAACTCGTATTTACAACTATTAAGCTTCCTACAGAGGGAACCCTCTTGTGCATCGAGGCTAGCGTACCACATGGGATGCAGTTATCAGATGACCTTTGTTTTTCTAGGGCATTAGTCCATGCTTGTTTGGTGTGTACCGTTGAGGGGGTAGGGGGCTTCGTACTGTGATCGATGCATGGGCGAACGAGGATACACTGATTTCTCTCTTGATTTTTGGTGGCGCTGTGGGTGTGACCGAGAGGGGGTGCCGGTTGATTTGTGAGGGGAAGGATTCGTTGCGCTGGTGGTTGTCCTCTGCTCTGTGTCACCCTCCTTCATTCAACTTGCTAAGGGAAGGGGTCCATTTGACTGTTGGGTGCATGCTAGTCTTCCTCGGCTCCGTTCGATGACTTAATTTCATCCTTCTGTCTTTTACTTGATGTTGCTTTGGTTGTTGCATTCATTGTGGCACTAGGGATGTGTAAGTGAAGATTGTGGGGCTCTGCTGTTCTAGTGTGTGTTTGGGCGGTCTTATGTGTTATCATCGGTTCGAATGGTGTTGGTTCTTTTCATCTTGAGCGTGAGTCCTTTTTGTCGGATTAGTCTGTCGGGTGGGTTGGGTTGCCTCTTTTTTGGCCAATGCTGGTGATGGTCACTATGTATAGGTGTGTGAGCCAGCACTTGGTTTATTTGTATGGTTTCCCATCTTGCCTTGAAATTCAAGAATATTCTTAGATTTTAGCAGGATGCCACCATCATGAAGGAAAACTCGAAGCTCAGTACATCTAAAAGCCCACATAAGTTAAAGAAAACATTGCATAACGTTCAACAAACACTAACAATATAATCACCTAAAGTAATAATAAAGTGGACCTCAAAATAAATGCGGCATGACTAGACGCGTGTTCGCTTATGAGTACATGTTACTTGAAAACAATTTAGTTTCACTCAACAGTTCTGTAGTTCTCAGCAACATCTTACAAATGTCAAACATTACACCATTCCCAAAATATAATAGAAGATACAACACTATCAAACTTTGTCAACAGTGCAACCAATGACGATCAATATTTTTCGTCATGTTTCTTGTTGCTTGTCTCGGTTACATAATTTGGCTATCAACCATATTATATCCTACTCTACATATCTAAGTAAACGACCCCACTTAAATGCACATACAAGCAGAGTCAGATCTATTGTCACAAATTTGGGCAGTCTTGGCCGAAGGAGAGCAAAATAAAATAAAATTGGCTATGCTAGCTTGGTAGGCCTTTTGGGTAGTGTTTTCTGGTGGGTTGGGCGGGCCACAACCTAGGTTTGTCCCATGTAACTCTGCCCTGCATACACGTCACTCACATCATTAAGCATATGCATGTCTTTCACATATTAATATTTAATATTTTTAATTTTTTCAACAACAAATAATTGTGCCTGGATGTCAAAAAGGAATATAACACGCATCCATCTTCTATTTATCTTTAGGTTTATTAATGTTTATATGGTGAAACTGTGGCATGGTATTATTCTCATATGTTTTTTACAATTTCTTCGCTACAAATTTTCGCAGCAACGCATACGTGTATTTATACCTAAATAGTTTATCCACACTACTTTTATTTCTCCCAACATACACACATGCCATCCCATCACACATGTCACCTCATAAAATCATTTCCCCTACTTTTCAGTTGCATGCTCCACCTACTACCTATTTTTTCTTATCCATGCAACTCATCATATAACTAGTCTACGTTTTCACTCCCTGTTTGGCAATCACACATCCGAAGTTAAGTAAAACCATAATGTAAGAACCGTTGGCTATTTGGTTAAGGTACCATAACCTATCAGGAATCATATATTTTAAAGTTGTAATAAAACAGCAAACATGAATCGGAGGAAGTATCATATTTGACGTCTTGTTTGTCTTCTTTAAAAAGAATTTCTTTCCTTGGTGAAAGACTTCGCGGGATTAGCCAGACGCCTATGACGATTTAATCATTGATGTTTCATGTACATATGCGTGGATGACCATGTTGCCTCAGAATTTTAAGAAACAATGTGTTCAATATTTTTGGATGACTTGGTTCCAATTTTTAAGAAACAATACTGTATGTCTTTTTCCCCACAAAAATCCCTTTGTTACCGAGACCTCCGATACGCTACAGTGACACAGCACCACAGGAGAATCTCACCCGTCCATTAGGCCAGGTGTCATCCATCCGGCCGTTGGCGCGGGCGTGCCACCTCACCCGTTGTCGTCTCCCACCTCTCGTCTCCTCGCCCAGCGATCCCCACTCCCACCTCGTTCCTCAGATCCCCATTCCCGTCCAAGAAAAAAAAAACTTATACTGCGCCGCCTCCTCCCCGGCCGCTTCCCCGCGCTGCCGCCGCGCTATCCGCGGGACCTCCTCTACCCGTCTCCCCGCCCGGTGCTGCTCACTGATTTCGGCGATCCGCATTGCGGGTAGGGTTGGGTTGGAGTGGCCGGCCGATCCGCGGCACCGAAGCTCCGTCGCACGGTTCTTGGGGCTCGCGCCCGCGAGCGCTGGACCGCGCCGGCGACCTGCTGCCCGGACTTCCTGCCGCGCTGCCGCAGCGGGCACGCGGCGATCGCCACTGGTTGCGCTTCGAGGTACGTGGCCCTAAGCTGTTTGGCACGTGGTTGCTCCGGCGCATATAGATGTGGATACTTCGGGGAATGAGCAGCGAGTGCATGCAGGGCCGAATCGGGGGCTAGGCAACAAGATCCGGCGAAGAGCAACCCCTGATCGGTTGCTCTCCACCGCCACTCCCGGCAATGAGTAGCGGCGGTGGCGGCGGCGGAGGAAGCCCCAACAACTCGGAATGGCGCTTCAACCAGACACTCCGCAACGTGCAAGGGTCAGTCCCTGAATGAGTGCAGTCAATAGTACACCCCTCACAAAGGAGTATCATGATTTAACAGTTAGGAATATAGAGTTTGATATATGAAATAGGAATACATCAGTATTTCAGCCTTTTGGGGTACATTTTTAGTTTAAACATCGACGGCTTCTGTCCACTTACGTAGTGTTCCTGTCTAAATTTTACTCCATGATCATAATTAGATATACCACTTACTGTCTGCTAGTATTGCAAAGTCTGTCTGCTTGTAACCTTATAGCAAGAGCTTGTTGCTATTTTTACCCAATTCTTTGTCAGAATGCTCAAAGGACGAAGCTTTCCTGGGAAGGTTATGCTAACCCGAAGATCCGAGCCAATTTCACCTCCTGAATACTCCCCACGCTCTGAGAATGATCACTATGAATATGAACAAAATGAAGGCTCACAGGAGGTAATGTGTCATTTCTCGGCATTGCTTTGTGACATATGATAGTCCAGATTGTAATTGGTGATATTCTACTTGTTCAGGTAGAAGGGCAAGCATCTGGAAATACGACTGACAACATCAGTTCTAAGAAACCAATTTCACCATCGACAAGTAGCGTCAATTCATTACCAGATGCCCAGGGTTTAGTTTCCGGGGCTAGAGCAACAGATTCCGCAAGGATTACCAAATTCACAAATGAACTCTCTAGGCCAGCTGTTATATTAGGTATGCACAATTTCTATATAGGATTGATTCAAGAGTTGTTAAGTGTGCAGAATTTGAATTTTGAAATCAACATTGAATTTATTTGCTGGTTTGGAAATTTATTATTTATATGTAGCTTCTATTTGGTCATTTTGATTGCAACCCAAATGAAAAAAAATGCAAATTTTACCAGAGTGACAATCTAAATATGGTGAGTTGTTTCCACTGACAGATATTTTTTCTCACTTTAGGTGATTTTCTCAGTTTTAAAGTTTTAACCATGCAAAATTGTTTGTAATACTGAATTACTGAGATGGTAGTAAATCTGAATTTTATATTTACTGAACTTGTGGCATTATAAATTAGTTTATTAATTCTTTACTGGTTAATGGGCACCATATTTTTCTAGTTTCAGGTTTAATTCTGATTGGATTTTACGGTAGCTGTGTACTTATACAATATTGTTTTTCTGTTTAATTTTCATAGCTTGTCCACAGAATTCAGTTGTCACTCACTGTTCTACTTGATTATGTAGATAAATTGCGTGAATTATCTTGGAGTGGCGTGCCACCTTATATGCGACCTAACATATGGAGGCTTCTTTTGGTTAGTAGACATATAACATGTTTATTGTGAGATAATGTGACCTCTTTCTAGTGTGGTGTTTCAGTATTGAATTTAATAACAGTTGGCTACAGGGATATGCACCACCCAATGCGGATAGAAGAGAAGGTGTTTTAACGAGGAAAAGACTTGAGTATGTTGAGTGTGTTTCTCAATACTATGATATTCCGGATACTGAACGCTCTGATGAAGAGATTACAATGCTTCGCCAGGTAACATTTCAGGCCTGAATTCGCATCACCAGGTCTGCCCATTTTTCATAGAATACATCAATCTTTACTCACACACTGTCTTGTAGATTGCTGTTGATTGCCCAAGAACTGTCCCGGATGTTACATTTTTCCAGGATCCTCAGATTCAGAAATCCTTGGAGCGCATTTTATATACCTGGTGAGGCACTGCACTTGTCTGATTCATCTTGATTCTTCAATAAAACTGTCCTATATATATATTTTTGAACATGCATTCTGATTGGTTCTGCTAAAAGCACTAGCCTTTTTTTACCTCATAGTTAGGCATTGCACTGCTTGATGAATTCTGGTGGAAAATGATCAGATGGGTGGAGTTTTTCATGAAACTTGACCTCTGATGCTGCCAGAATAATGATTCTTCTTTGCTTTTCTCCACTATTTCCTAACACAACAATGTCTCATTTTCAGGGCCATCAGGCACCCTGCAAGTGGCTACGTCCAAGGAATAAACGACCTTGTTACACCATTCTTGATTGTGTTCTTATCAGAGCACTTAGAAGGCAATATGGACACTTGGTCCATGGAGAACCTTTCTTTGCAGGACGTTTCTAATATAGAAGCAGACTGCTATTGGTGTCTCTCGAAGTTTCTGGATGGCATGCAGGACCATTACACCTTTGCACAACCTGGAATACAACGCCTTGTATTCAGGTTGAAAGAGTTGGTTCACCGAATAGATGGTAACGTTCTATCGATTGACATATATGACTTCCCTTCCTATTATAACAATTAAGTATAGAAGGTAGTTTGACAATGGATCTCCTGGTAATAGATATCAGTTTGGCTGATACTCAAAATACTGACATTGTCCTGTGACATCTTCCATGTATACAGAACCTTTATCGAAGCACATAGAGGAACAAGGGTTGGAGTTCCTTCAGTTTGCCTTCCGTTGGTTCAATTGTCTTCTGATACGTGAGGTTAGTCTAGTCAAGGGGCGTTGCTTCCATGTGATGTTTACATTGATGTCCCTTAATACCTCATACTGCTGCAGGTTCCATTTCATCTCGTGACACGCTTGTGGGATACGTATCTTGCTGAAGGAGATTATCTACCAGATTTTCTCGTGTACATATCAGCTAGCTTTTTGTTAACAGTAAGTGAAAGTACTCCTTGCCCTGTACTGATTGTCTAGTATGTTCCCTGTTTTCATTGTGTGCAATCCAGCTTACGGATTTCCACTAAAGATTTGGATTCAGAGTGATGTTCCCTTTGTCTCTTTCTTCCCCAGTGGTCGGAGAAGCTGCAGAAGCTGGATTTCCAGGAGATGGTCATGTTCCTCCAGCACCTCCCGACCAGGAACTGGGCGCACCACGAGCTCGAGATGGTCCTCTCCAGGGCGTACATGTGGCACACCATGTTCAAGAGCTCGCCCAGCCATCTTGCCAACTAGGAGGACTAAGCGGCTGTTGATCATGCCTGGGAGCAGGCGGCGGAGCAGTCCAGCTTCCGTTGTAATGTAGACTCACATATACCCTTCCCGGAGGAACAATGGGGGAGTTTCATGTTTATTTTGAGTGCTGTATTATGAATATCTGCTCCGATTTGTATATCTCGCTGTGAAACTACCGTCTCGGTGATAATGAATATATCTCATTGGTTTTTGATGCAATTACCGTATTCTTTTCAAATCTGATGGCCATTTTGGCATTTTGTTTGAGTTATTTAGAGTTCATAGCCCAAACTTTCTGAAACTGTTACTTTGTCTGAACATGCAAACGCAGGCCTAGTGTCACACCGTGCGCAATGTGTTATAGACATTACAGAATGTCCATCCGCAACAAAGATATCAAGATTTCTATGACAGTGTTTGGCCGCCATTATAATCCCTTTGCTGGACTCGAGCACTCGAGAGGTCATTAGTTGCGTGCATTTCGCTGATATTTGTTGATGAGAAGAAATAGTTGGGATTCTACAAAACACGGTTCGAGAGGTTGAGCAAGCCAACCAATTCGATGTTTTGGTGCAACTGTGAAAGGGGTCGCAGGAACCGGACACCGGATTTAAAGGGTATTTGTTTCCAGTGACTTATTGGTCTAGGGACTTAAATAAGTCCCTATAAGTCCCATCTAAACCAAACAAGAGGGACTTATAGGGACTTAAAGTGGGCATTTGGGACTTATAAAATAAGACTTCCAAGGAGAGACTTATAGTTGTAATATGGTCTTATAGAGACTTATAAGTCCCAGGAACCAAACAGGTAGGGATTTTTTAGGGACTTGGGACTTATAAGTTGGGACTAAAAAAAGTCCTAGGACTTATGAATCAAACAGGGACTTAATAGGTAGTACAAATCAACTTTTTAAATTTCAAAAACAGAGAAAATTTCCAGACCTCATAGAAGTACGCAAACTTTCGGAAATTATTTCAGATTTTGATGTATCAAAATTCATTTACTTTTAATGATTTTGATTAAATTTAAATATGCTTGAATCTGTCTCGAAGTTTTGGGATTACAAATATTTTGAATTTCTGTTAACCACCGAAAATTTCGAAATTTTCATTGAAATTTCGAACCCTCGAACCCTAGCCCACCACCTCATGCATGGGGCCACCATGTTGTGACCTCAGTGACGCCCCCAGACCAAATGGCGTGGTGGCCGTTCGCTGCCGCGCCCCGCCGCCTCCGCAGACTCGCTGCCGTCGCCTTCTTCTCCGCAGCGCCCTCCCACGGCTGCCCGCTCCACGCCGAGCTCGCGCGCCGCGGCGCCCCCGCGGCCGCCTCGCTCGCCCTCTATTCCCGCATCCGCGCCGCCACGCCGCCCACCCCCTACACCTTCTCCCTCCTCCTCGCCGCCCTCGCCTCGTCCGCCTCCGGCGGTTGCACCCGCCTGGCCGCGCCCGTCGCCCACGCGCACGCGCTCAAGTGCGGCGCGCTCGCGCACCCCGTCGTCACCAACTCCCTCCTCAAGCTCTACTGCGCCCTCGGCCTCCTGCCCCACGCGCGCAGGGTGTTCGACGACTCGGGCGCCGCTCTGGACGCCGCCTCCTGGAACACCATGGTGTCCGGCTACGGCAAGAGCGGCGACCTGGCAGCGGCGCGGGAGGTGTTCGGCAGAATGCCCGGGCGGAACCTGGTGTCCTGGAGCGCCATGGTCGACGCGCTTGTGCGTGCGGCGGAGTTTGACGAGGCGCTGCGGGTGTTTGATCGGATGATGGGGGAGGGTTTCAAGCCGGATGTGGTGGTGCTGGTGAGCGTGCTCAAGGCATGCGCTCATCTTGGTGCCGTCGAGAGGGGTCGGTGGGTCCATCGGTATATGGAAACAGAGGGGTTTGCAGGGACGCAGAGGAATGTCATGGCCGAGACCGCCCTGGTGGACATGTACTGCAAGTGCGGGTGCATGGAGGAGGCGTGGCGTGCTTTTGACTCTGTTCGCTGCCGTGACGTCGTGCTGTGGAATTCGATGATCGGGGGGCTTGCGATGAATGGCCATGGCAAGCGTGCTCTTGAATTGTTCCAAAGGATGCACGAAAAAGGTTTTGTGCCAAATCAGTCAACCTTTGTTGCTGCTTTGTGCGCGTGCACCCACACAGGTCGTCTGGACGAAGGGAGGAAAATTTTCCAGTCGATGCGGCAGCACGGGATCGAGCCACAGAGAGAGCACTATGGGTGCCTAGCTGATCTCCTTGGGCGTGCAGGACGCGTTGAGGAGGCTGAGGCTGTCTTGTTGGATATGCCAATGGAGCCACATGCGTCGCAATGGGGTGCGCTGATGTCGTCATGCCGGATGCATAATGATATTACTGTCGGCGAACGGGTTGGGAAGCGGCTCATTGAGCTAGAGCCACAACATGGTGGTCGTTATGCTGTTCTCTTCAACTTGTATGCAGTCAATGGTCGATGGGAAGATGCAAGAGCCATTCGGCAGATGATGGTGGACAAGGGAGCGAAGAAAGAGCTGGGTTTCAGCTTCATGGAGTGAAATGGTTGCTCCATGAGTTACACCCCGGACAAGCCAGATCTATGCACTCTTGGTAAGATACTAATGTCTCGTACTGGTGTACTCCATCTGTCCGGTGAAGAGTGTACATCTAGAGATTTTAGGACAAATTATGGAGTGAAGTAAAAAATGCATTGGAAAGATGCAAGCCACCGTCTCTTCTTCTTCTTCTTCTTCTAAGCCTTTTGTCCCAAACAAGTTGGGGTAGGCTAGATATGAAACCCTTTCACGAGGAGTTCCCAGGAGGTCACCCATCCTAATACTACTCTCGCCCAAATGAGTTTCATACCCAAAGGATTGACTAGTTTTTACGTTGGCTCGCCAAGCCTATCACAACCCTTATATATGAAACCTTTTCACGAGGACTTCCCAGTAGGTCACCCATCCTAGTACTACTCTCGCTCAAATGGGTTTCATACCCATGGGATTGGCTAGTTTTTACGTTGGCTCGCCAAGCCTATCACAACCCTCCTCCTTTACCCGGGCTTGGGACTGGCTATGCTTAAAAGACATAGCCGGAGTTGCAAGCCACCATCTCTCTCCTCTTTAATTACCCAACCCCCAATGAGCTAAGTGCATGTAGAAATTAAGAAGACCATGTGTAGATTGTTATTGGTCTTGATTACCGTGTGATGAGAGAGAAGTATTTTTTCTACTTTAAAGTGCATTGGAAAGATAGAAATACATTCTTTTGTGGACAAATTTTGAAGCCAAATGTACACTCTTCACCGGACGGAAGGATCTGCCTTGATGTCGACAATAGTACCTTCTCTGTCACTTGTGAGGCTATCTATGGCAGCTTCATGTCCTCCTGTGGAAAGAACACAAGCTAGTCATGGCCTCATGGGAACCCCATCACGTCTTTTCTGCACCTGTTAACGTTTATTTTTCTGCTCCGGTTACCACCTGCAGTGACTGCTGGCGCTGTTCAGGTGCAACTTATTCTTGCCTGGAGAAGAGAGTGGCATATGCACCTCAATAATGCTTGTCAGAGAAGCTACAGAAGCTGATTTTCAAGAGATGGTCATGTTCCTCCAGCACCTCCCGACCAGGAACTGGGCACGCGCCACGAGCTCCGAGACGGTCCTCTCCAGGGCATACATGTGGCATGCGATGTTCAAGAGCTCGCTTGGCTATCTCGCCAGCTAGGAGGACTATGCGGCTGTTGATCATGCCTGGGAGCAGTCCAGATTCCGTTGTACTCTAGACTCACACATTCCCTTCAGGGAGGGATCTTGAGGGAATTTTATGTTTGTTTGGAGTGCTGTATTATTAACATCTGCTCCGATTTGTATATCTTTCTGTGATAATGAATAGATATGGCATTGGCTCTCGATTTCTTCATATTGCTCACAAGTTAGGAGGCATGTTCCTGGTCGAGTTTGTGACAGCTGACAGTATAAATTAACTTGCTTGATGGCAGCGCCTTAATTTCTATCTGCTTTTACTTTCCATGAACATGTATGTACTCTACTGGGCCAAGGATGTACTCCGTATGAAACTGTCAAGCTGAACTCTGAACCAGCATGCAGCCCAGTCTCGCACCATCCGCTAATGTGGAACAGAGCGTCTTCATCCACGGCAAGAAGTCTTCAGTGACTGTGTTCTTGTCTATTACACTGTTCAGGTGATGTAGATAGGGCCGGTAGGGGAAGTAAGGAATAGTTTTTTTTAGGGAAGGAAGTAAGAAATAGGTGTTTTCTTGCTTTTCATAATAGAAAAAGATCAACTAAACTAAATCAGAGATTGTCATAGAGATTTACAGGACTGGTATTTATTCTTGGCGATGAAATGGATGGAATTTCTTGAAACATCATCAACTATAATCGAATTTGGAAAAAGGTTTTCTAGCTGCTGCAATAAATCAAGAAAGCGGGCGCAAAAGAGATGCTCAATGAGAGAGATTCTAGACCGGTCATGGTCTAAAAAAAATGATCACTCCTAAAAGGGAGTTAACTGCTTCAAAGCATACATGAAACTTATCTCATAGAGTGACCTAGCCCCCAATAGCGAAGGATAGCTATTGACTTATTGGGAAATAAGCCTCCAATACATGCTTATCTCAAAAAAACTACTTCATTTTAGGTTTTCATGGCCGATTCAATAACATAGTTCGCACACCTCTTTTCAATTCTTTGGAGATAGTTGTCATTTATCTCTTCTTCCATATCCCTCCTATTTAGTAGAAAGGTTCCTGCTCCAGTTGGGAAAGCAATTTTTTGTTCAAATAGTATGTCTTGGGAGCGGATCATCTTAAGAATCAACCCATGGATTTCATATGAATGCTCATCGTTTCTAAGCCATAGGTTGTTCTTCTCTTATCGAACTGTTTGCTCGACCCAATCCGCCCGCCATTCATTCATTGTTCTGTTGTGGATTCGAACCACTAGCACAAATTTGAATTTGAGATCATTGTAATTCCTACATTATTGTCTTTCTCGAATTGTTTATTTCTCGCTTGGCCTTCCTCTAAGGTTTCCCATCCAAGGAGGGCAGAATGGTTAATGTGCGAAATGGCTTCCATAATATGGCTAAATGGTGTGAGTTGCTTCCTGCATTCCTCCTGTTTGCTTTCAGGATTCATTCCTAAGCTTACCTCAAGATCTAGGAAATGCTTATCGTAGCTTTTTCTAGGTTAGCTTTTCCACTATGCTTATGTGCTAAGGTTATATTTTTCTTGGTTTCCTCTATGGAGTGACGTGGTACCTTTTATGACTGTCTTTGTTGCCCCTTTTCTTTTCCTTTCTCAAAGGCATGTCTGCATGGTGCTGATCCACATTACCACTTCCTAATTATGAGAGTGGCAACTCCGGATGGATGAAAGATACCAATGATTGTGGCAACTCCGGATGGATGAAAGATACCAATGATTGTGGCAACTCCAGATGGATGAAAGATACCGATCATTGTTAGAACCTCTGCTCTAGGTTTCACGGTAGCTTCCCCTCCACTCGAAGCACACATCTAGTACACTTATCACTGTCCAACCACAAGGAATTAACCGCCTTCTCAAACTTTCACTTCTGATTTGGATTGATTGAACGAGAAGAGAAATGAGGGAAAAAGAGGAGAAAGAGGTAGGCTTTGGGCTAACAGTAGTAAGATAACAGAATGGTGATTCGCAAGAGACTGGACTAGATAAGGTTAAGATTTGTATGTCTTTTACTGCTCTGTCCCTGTTTTTTAGGAGCTAAACCAAGCTTTTATTGCTCAAAATCCGCATGGTGTGGAATACAAATCGTATCATGGGGTTGCCCCTTTTGTCCCCTCTCTCGGCTGGATTTTGGTCCAGACATTTCGCCCTGACCAAGAGAATGTGTAAACTTGGCTAATCTATCCGCATCCATGTTAGATGCTCTACCTTCAAAAGAGAAAATACAATTAAAAGATGTAGCTCTTCGGTTAATCTCCGAGATAATCGCTCCATACCCTCCCGGGCATGCTTGGCAATGTCATTGACCACTTGCTTTGAGTTAGAGGTGGTGATGAAGTTGTTTAGAAGCAAGTCATCGGCGAGTGCTAAACATTCCCGACACGCTATGGCCTCGAGTGTCACGACATCCACTATTCCTGCAATAACCAAGGCCGAGCTTCCAATGAAGTTGCCGTCCTCGTCGCGACATACAGCCGCCACCGCTCCCCGGACATGATTTCTCAATATCCTAGCGTCCACATGGATCTTGGAGAAACTCTAGGGAGGCGCCTTAGGTTTTGTGGGTACGTTCGCTGGTGTACGTCGCTGCTGGACAATCTTCTTTGGCAAAAGTTCCAGATCAGCCATGAAACGTGCAATGAATTGGTGAGTAGCTGATGGACTTTGGAAAATCTGTTCATGAATTGCCTTTCTTCTCGCCCACCACAACGTCCAAAGAGTGACCACCATCCAAACGAAGGCAGCATGTGATAGTGTTTCCGTGTTTCGATCATAGCAAATAACCATTGCTTGGCACTTGGTTCTGTGGTCTCACCTAAGTGTTCAGCTAAATCACTGCTTTGTCCCTTATGTAAAGGGATGCCCTTAGAGGTGGGCTCCCTTTATTCAATAGGCTTGTTACTGCATGTCTCAACGGGTATTTCATGTCCTAACCGTACTAATACACATGCTGTCTGACCTAACAGAAGATCATGTGCCCACCTTTCGCCTACTTATGATTAATAATTCTCCATCCACATCAAAGTTCCACCAGGGTAAAATTATCTTCTCCAACCCCACGAAACAGTACAAGAAAAGGAAAAGGGGAACAAATACCACTGAACGCCTCTCTAGATAGCATGACAAGATGATTTTAACACAGCGGAACACAGGGATTTGGAATGGGTTATGCCAGGGATATATCCTGACCGGGTTTAACCGATGCACAAGGTGGACCAGGATCAAACCCCAGCCAGGGCGAAACCATAAGATTCAACTGGGGTTTGGACCCGATTCCTACCAGGTAGGGGCTAACGGAATGATACCCTACTACATCTACAACCACGATGCACAAATCTGACCCCTCAAACGTCCGCCGACGCACCCGGTCAGTGTCCGGGTGTATCCCCTAAAACCATTCTACCATTAGCATTAGGTCACCTTCACGACAACAATAGTTACAGTCCACCATAAGTGCAACATTCCAGGTAAGGTGTGACTAAAAACAGCACTAGACTACCAGCATACTTAAGCAGCAAATGAGCGAAACTTTGCCCAGCAATATCTCCTTAGCCGCTTTTCCGATCAAGTGTTCTCCTTGATGGCCTCGTCTATAGCTTCGATGTTGTCCCTCAGTATCTTCCACTGCACATGTAAAAAACTAGTGAGCTGTTATAGGAAGGAAGTGATGGTTTGTTGCTGCAAACCCAAGTAAAAGATCACACAATAGTTGGTTGCTACCAGAGTACCACCTATACAGCAAGTCGATCACAGCCAACAAAGACAATCATGGCATGTACGTATGTGGCAATAGGCCCGAACTTGACGTTACGTGCACGCAAATTTAACATATTAAGGTACTTGTGATCATGTTCCTGTAACAGACAGCATGAGAGATGGGCACTGAAACTAAAATTATTCGGCTTTAAGGTAGGAGTATCCTCTGACGTGTCTTCATGCTAAAAAAAGGATGTCAAAGCTTGCCAAGAAATTTTCACGCCGCCTACTAGATATTCTAATGTATCATTCACATTTCAGACAGATCATGATCTATCTTCTCAGGGTAACAGATTTGCTTTATGCGTATAGGATACAAATAGATCTTGAAATGCATCTTACCTGATCCATTGAAAGCGATATACCTGAAAAAAGGAAAATGAAATAATAAGCCGAAAAGCTATAGCATCATCTTGAACAATTATAACAGATAGTACATTCTTTTAAACTGAAAACATTACAGATAGTACTTGAGCTTGAGGGAAATAAGCAAAAAAAAATGCCAGCATGTGTACGTCCAGATTCCAATAGAATGCACCCACACTTAAGATAATCATTTCTGGCAACTGGTATTCAATGATACTGAATGAGTAGAACATAGAACGGTATTCTGGGTTTAAAAATGAAGTCAGTGGCATAGGTACACATTCAGACGTTTATTATACTCTCACAAAATCTAAGAACTTAACTCATTTATATCTATCAACTAGGGTAATGAAATATCTGTGATCAGAAGTATGAACCCCTGCTTCATCATTTGACCAAATATTGCATTTTCAACTGATCCAAGAAGTGCATAGACAAAAGGTAGTCAAGGATTAATGTCAAGACGTAAGACGCGGATTAAATGGGGGTAGTCTCTACCTACAGCTACAATAAGTATTTTGCAGAATGTCATGTTCATCACCTGCTTGAGCTTACAACATAGTGTGCTAAACACAAGGATGCTCATTTTTGTATGCCTGTTTCAAGATATGGACATCCATCCATTATAATGTTAGTGGGTGGGGAAGTCATATCAAGGCTGAAGACCCTTCATTGGTGTAACCAAACTAATTGCTAAAGGGAAGAATTTGTTATTGCACTTCCTCCTGGCTCATTCATAAAGCATTCACTTAATAGAGTGCTTTACACTTAACAGAGTGCCATTACCAAGCACGGACAATACAAAAAGCAATTACGGGCCACATGTATGTAGTTGACCACTAGATGCATCAGGTGTCCCCAAGATTTAACATATGCCCACCTTCCACGTAGGCAAAAGAAATGCAATGTGCTGACATTCAGATAATAACATATTTCAGATCCACATGGATTACGGCAGGGTAATAATACAATACGCAAGTGCACAGGCAAACATTCAGGTTTCGAACTCGAACATGCTACTACGGAACAAGAAAGAAATGCCAGGATACCTTTGCGGGTCGGGAGGCTCTTGCCGTCCTTTTCGTAGAACTCGCGCATGTCGACCATCACCTTGCCGTTCCAGCTCCTCACAGCCACCCTCTTGTTCTTCGATATCTGAAGGGAAGAATGAAAAAATAAATAAATCCACGGGTCTAGGGTTTTAGGGATCTGCCTTTTGAGAGGGAGCGGTAGGTTGGTCGGGAGTACGGAAACAACACCTGCGCGACGACGATGCCGTCGTCGGTTTCCTCGGCGGGGCCGTCCTTCCCGGCCGCCTGGCGCTTGGCCGGCGGCTGGCCGCCGCCGCCGCGGCCGCCGAAGCGCTTGTTCCCCTTGAGCCCCATCTCCCTGGATCTGTCCGCCAAGTCTGGCTTCCTCAAATCCTCAATTGCTCAGCCCGACTCCCCGGCCGAGTTGGAAAACCGTTCGGGAGCATTCGATTGCTACCGCTCGCCTGGGCTGGCGGCCCATCAGGTTCGAATGTGGCCCATTATGTTCTTTCTTTTTCCAACAAACAAAGAATAAAACAAAAACAAAAAACAAAGAACGTGTCGATATCGTGGCAAATTCTAAATTGAGAGGAGCGGCATGTGCAGTGTGCCGAGATGATGATATTTGGGCAGCTCTTCTCTGGTTGTCCGGGGAATCATCAATGTAGTCACACTCGAGGCGTTGGCATGCAGAGAAGATTTGGCTCTCGCAGAAGACTTGATGATTCAAAATGTTATAATTGCCTCCGATTCTAAGCAGGTGGTGAACACCATTGAAAGAGGGAATAGTAACACTTATAGTTGTACCATTACTGAGATTAAGCGGTGAGCTGGTTTAATTAATTGTAAGTTTATTTTTAAAGGTCAGGCATCAAATACTGATGCAGATAGGTTAGCTAAGTTTTTAAACACTCATCATCAGGGGCGACATATTTGGTTCATCCATCCCCATGATCCTTTTTGTATACCACTTCGTATCGACTATAATCAATAAAGCTTAGTTATACCCCTAAAAAAACAAAGAACGACTTCTTCTAAAAAACAACGGCGGGTTGACCCAATCTGAATTGTAGAGACCACTGTGACTAGGGTCAATTTACCGTTTACCCCACCTTTACTCTCTCTAGGCCAAAATGCCCATCTTATATTGCAAAGAATTATTTGCGGGAAACTTTCGATGTATTCATCTCCAATCATGGTAGTACAGCGAACACAAGAAATAAAAAAAATTACACCAGATTCGTAGACCACCTAGCCACGGTTACAAGCATTGAAGCGAGCAGAAGGCGTGCCGACATCAGCGTCCCTCTCTTGTCGGAGCCGCGCATAATTTGTTGTAGTAGATAGTCAGGAAGTCCTCATGCTAAAGCCCAATAAGACCAACGCACTAGAACAACAAGCGCCGCCGACGAAGAGAAGTTTAGATCGGAATGATCCATCTTGAAAACACATGAACAAGGGCGTAGAAAGATCGGATCCGAGCAGATCCACCAAAGACATCCACCGATCGAATCCCGCGAGATCCGCCGGAGACACACCTTCACATGCCCTCCGACGATGCTAGACGCACCACCGGGACGGGGCAAGGCAGAGAGAACATTATTCCATCTTCAAGAAGTCGTTGTCGTCTCGTCTTCCTGAGCAAGCCACAAACCCTAACAAAACTTGAAGAAGCACCTAAAAACGGAGCCCTCCCACCGGCAAGGACCAGGGTCCACCTCACACCCATGGTCGTAAAGCCACAGGAGACATGGTAGATCGGCGGTGCCGCCAATGGGAGGCAAGAACCCTAGCCACCTAGGAATAAGGTGAAGACTAAGTGTCTTCTAACTCAAGCCTCCCTAATCAGATGTACAGTTGACACAACAACTGGAACTGGTTAATAACGGGGTCCTGTACCAAGAGTAATGAACATGATGGAGCCTGGCCTATGCAGGGCCCACTAAGCCCAAGGGTAGATGAAAGCCCTACGGGGGAAGGCAATCAACGTGCTCTTCAAGTTAGGAGGGCGGCGGCGCAACAGATCTCACCTACCCCTGTAAACCCTATAGACCTCTCCTGTCTATACAAAAGGGAGGTCTAGGGCCTCATTGATCATCCAATCTTGGATCTAAAACTCTCGGTAGCAATCTCGTACACCATTGTAATCCTCTGCATGAGGTATCCCCTCACCATGAATAACAAGAAGAAGCAGGATCTGGGGTATTACTCTTTGGAGGCATGAACCTGGGTAAACTGTGTGTGTAGACTCTGTTCTGGTACTTTTGATCTCGTCATGAACCCTACTGAGGGATCTGATCGTAATTCGCTTCGTCAATTGGCGCGCCAGGCACATGCGACATTGGTCGGAGACCTAACCCGGTGCGGAGAATCAGAAAAGTTCGGCAAGCTCCCGCCATGCCAATGCCTCACGTTTGGCCCTTTTGAGCTGGTCTGTAACGCCCTCGATGCGGCTTTATCTCCCACGTGTCGAAGCACGACTTAGAGGCATAACCGCATTGAAAGCAATGTCGCAAGTGAGGTAATCTTCGCAACTAACCCATGTAATACATAAGGGAAAAAGATACATAGTTGGCTTACAATCGCCACTTCACACAAATACATGAATAAAGCATTACAACATCCAAATACAATCAAGGTCCGACTACGAAACCAAAATAAAAGAAGAACCCCAAATGCGACAAGGTCCCCGATCGACCCCAATTGGGCTCCACTACTGATCAACTAGAACGAAACAAAACAAAGGACAAGATCTTCATCGAGCTCCTCCTGAGCTGGGTTGCGTCATCTACACGGACTCATCGGCACCTGCAAGCTGGTTTTGGAAGTATCTGTGAGTCACGGGGACTCAGCAATCTCACACCCTCGCGATCAAGACTATTTAAGCTTATGGGTAAGGTAAAGGTATGAGGTGGAGCTCCAGCAAGCGACTAGCATATATGGTGGCTAACATACGCAAATGAGAGCGAGAAGAGAAGGCAAAGCACGGTCGAGAAAGTATGATCAAGAAGTGATCCTAAAACAACCTACGTCAAGCATAACTCCAACACCGTGTTCACTTCCCGGACTCCGCCGGAAAGATACCATCACGGTTACACACGCGGTTGATGCATTTTAATTAAGGTCAAGTTCAGGTTTTCTACAACCGGACATTAACAAATTCCCATCTGCCCATAACTACGGGCACGGCTTTCAAAAGTTCAAATCCTTGCAGGGGAGTCCCAACTTAGCCATGACAAGCTCTCACGGTCAACGAAGGAATAGACCTCCTCCCGAGACATTCCGATCAGACTCGATATCCCGGTTCTACAAGACATCCTCGATAATGGTAAAACAAGTCCAGCAAAGCCGCCCGATGCGCTGACATCCTGATGGGAGCTGCACATATCTCGTTCTCAGGGCAACACCGGATAGGTCAAGCTACGAGTAAAACCAGCCCTCAAGTTTCCCCGAGGTGGCCCTGCAGGCTGCCCATTTCGGACCAACACTTAGACAAGCACTGGCCCCGGGGGGGGGGGGTTAAAATAAAGATGACCCTTGGGCTGGCCTAACCCAAGGGAAAAAGAGGCTAGGTGGCGAATGGTAAAACCAAGGTTGGGCCTTGCTGGAGGAGTTTTATTCAAAGCGAACTATCAAGGGGTTCCCATTATAACCCAACCGCATAAGGAACCCAAAATCCAGGAACATAACACCGATATGACGGAAACTAGGGCGACAAGAGTGGAACAAAACACCAGGCATAAGGCCGAGCCTTCCACCCTTTACCAAGTATATAGATGCATTAATTAAATAAGATATAATGTGATATCCCAACAAGTAAACATGTTCCAACAAGGAACAACATCTCCATGTTCCAACAAGGAACAAACTTCAATCTTCACCTGCAACTGCCAACACTATAAGAGGGGCTGAACAAAGCGGTAACATAGCCAAACAACGGTTTGCTAGGACAAGGTGGGTTAGAGGCTTGGTTCAACAATATGGGAGGCATGATAAGCAAGTGGTAGGTATTGCAGCATAGACATAGCAAAAGGGCGAGCATCTAGCAAGCAAATATAGAAGTGATTTCGAGGGTATGGTCATCTTGCCTGAAATCCCGCAAGGAAGAAGAACGAGTCCATGAAGAAGACAAACAGACGTAGACGAACGGGTCCTCACAAATGCGACGTTACCGAAACCAACCCGAAGAAGCAAACACCAGAAAGAAGCACACAACATAGTAAACAACCAACACGTGAACATGGTATGATATGCGGGATGCGGTATGCGATGCATATGCATGATTTGACAAGGAATGATTGAACCTGGCCTCAACTTGGAAATCCAAGTGTGCCACTGGAAAGGTGAGATGAAATCGCTTGAAAACGATATAAAGATCACCGGAATCGGAGTTACGGTTTGGAAATGGCAAGCAATTCAAATATGGCACCGGTCTGCGATATACAGCAAGTAGCCATCAAATGCAACAAGTTAAACATACTACAACACCCAAACATGGCAACAAAATACATGGCAGGGATCCATACAAGATGCTTAACAAAAAACTAGCACTGAGCTACGGCCAATTCATCCATTAACAGGTTCAAACAAGCATGGCAAAAGAGCAATCGGTAAACAGATTCAGACTTAGTGAAATTAACACAAGCCTGGAATTTCAGATCAGATAGCACTCTTTGGAGCATGAAAACTATATACTACAGGACCTGAACATGGCAAAGTAAAGCATGGCATGGAGCTACTCAAAGAGCTTAACAAAAGCCCCTTAGTGACCTTGAGCCAAAAGGGATCAGAAAATACATTTACAAGCATGTGAACATGGCAAAAACATAAACAGATCACATACTTAGTGAAAAACTGGAGCATGCAAATCAGATATCAAGTAGGCATGTATACGAGCTCGATGCACTCACTACAGAGTAAGGCATGACAACCTAAGCACACACCCAATAAGAATACACATTATACAAGCTAGACATGGCAAGAACAACAACATAGCATGCACAGAACAACTACAACATCCTCGGCAAAATTGCTAACAAGTAGACAATCTGTCCAGATTCACGAAATGACAAAAGTAGAGCTCGATAGACTCAAGCTAGGGTGCTCCATAATTGCAAACAAAGGCATGGATGGGTAGAGCACTACAAGATTACCAAAACATCCTTACTGATCATCCTCAAAAGAGGCACGGATCACTAGGAAACAACATGAACATATGGCATAATGAGATAAACAGATCAAGGACTTAGTGGAAATGCTAAGTCCCTGAAATCAGCATTAACGAATGCACCACTTTGCAAGCTTGTGGTAGTCACCACACACATCACAAAAATACATGGATAGCAGCATTGTAA